AAGTTTCTTTTGAATAATAAAGAAGTATATACAATTTTAATAGGAGGGCACATTTGCCCTGTTGTTCAGATCAGAAGTACCTGTTTTTGTACTATCAAACTTCCGGGAACCAGTACGCTCTAAAATGCAATTAAAGGTATGTTGAATTTTTCAGCACAAGTCAGGATAAGGTATAGTTTTGACATGAAATAACTGCTACTTTATTTGAACTTAAGACAAATTAGCCATTAATGCTTGAAATTGCAGAATTTAACATAGAAAGCAATGGGGATATGAATTAGTGGTTTTATACCTTTTGCCTTTTTAACTTTGTGATTCGAGCGTCACTGATGAGTCTTTTGTGGACGAAACGCGCATCTGGCGTACAAAATTTTAAGCCTGGTTTTTATGATGAGTTTATTATAACTTGCTTGTATTTCTTGACTTTGGACTTACAGAATTACAGTAACATGTGATTTTAGCACTGGATATAGATTTCACATTGTTGAGTCTCATGTATTGGTATATTCTTATTCGTCTTGACATGATTAATCATTGATATGTTCTTTCATTTTTATTTTACTTACTGTTTATAGAATGTCGAGTTATTAGATATACAAAAGTTTTTTTTCAATTTCCAGACAAAAAATTACCTTTTCCGTGTTATGCACAACTTTTTATTTGGTGTTAGTCCTTGACTACTTGAACCAGGCCTGCTAAATATATTCTTGAAAACTAATAATTTTGTCAACAAATTTTGTCTTCGTGTTGATAGTTATAACTGTCCAAGGATTGTTGATTTCATGCGACGTACACTTTTCCAAAGGCTAAATGTTTGAAATAGATCAGGACGATTTACACGGCATGTAACCTGAAAATCTTATGTTTGGAGGATACTCGCTACCTGTCAAAGAGTTTCTGTAATGAATCTGTAATAAAAGTGACATGTTGTAGGGATATTTCTGGTCAAATCTTTTCAAATCCTGTAATTACAGATTTAAGAATATTGATGTCCAGTTCAAATTGGGAGTACAATGTATCTCCAGAAATGTGTTGAATAATCTAATTGGTAAAGTTGTACTAATTATACTTGTCATTTAATGAATGCAATAAAAAATAAACCATTCGACCTTTGCTCATTCGATATATAAATATATCATTATAACATTGTTTATGACATAAACAAAAGATATCTAAGATAAATCATAAATCGTTCACAGGAAACTCTTGTCAACGTCACCTGCATACATACAGTCATATCTGTCACACAAATGTTGGGAAAATATTTCCAAATAATTTTAAAATGTATTTAATATAAATATAGAAGTCTATAAAAAAAGACCATCCAGCACATTTAATATGCACCAGATCGTCTAGAATTAATATAAATATATATAACATGATGGTGAAATTCGTTACTTCAGATTCTTTAAACATTATTTTACAATTGTTGTCAATTTAAAGCGTACACCAATACTTTGTTATTGTTGGCATTTTAAAAGTATTCACCAATACTTTGTGATTGTTGACATTTTAAAAGTGTACACCAAAATCAAACTTTGTGATCGTTGACACTTTAGAAATGTAAACCAATACTTTGTGATCGATACCATTTTAAAGTGTACACCAATACTTTGTTATCGATGACATTTTAAAAGTGTACAAAAACTTTGTTATCGATGACATTTTAAAGCTGCACAACAATACTTTGTGATTGTTGACATTCAATAAAATTAAGAACACGTACATCAATTCTTCTTGGATACAGACATTTTAAAAGCGTTCACTGATACCTTATGATTGGTTTTCAACTAATTTTACTAAAGCACTATATGCATGCAATGAATTGATGTTACTTTAATTTTGGTGTACGTTTGATAAAATCACCATTTGTTTATAGATTTTCTGACGGCAAGTTACTAGCCTTTTCAGTCAGAGTTATTTTATTAATTGTGCTAAGGTGAGGCATATGTCGTTTGGTCACTGGTAGATAGTTGTCTCATTGGCAATCATACCACAACTTCTTGTTGATTCATTTAAGAGGTTACGTCGACAGAACATTGTGAACTTATTGATGTATTATTTACTTGTGGGAATTAATATTAGTTTGTATATTGCTGGACATAATAATATATCTGTCATCATCAAACTTGTGTAGTCAAAACCAAAATGAGCCTCAATTTTCAGCAGTATTGGAATCCTCAGCAGTACCCGGTTATCTTAGGCGACGACCATTTGATATTCTAGGGGGGGATTATTTTATTTTCATCTGTTGCTACGTAAAACACTCCCAAATCAATTTGTATAGGTCTTTGAAGCAAACTTCTTCCTGATATGTCAAAGTCTATCTATCGTGTAATGACTTTTACTTCACATAATACACTTCCTCTGATAGTTACGATATCCAACAGTATACTCATAAGTGATGTCATTAGTTCTTATAATGTAGTCATTAAAAAGAGTGAGATTAGATTCTGAAAATACCAAGGGGCAAACGAACATCTTTACCTTTTCTCTTATAGCTACGATATTTAACAAAACTTAGCAGTGATATCACGAGTACATGTAATTTAGTCATGAAATGAGAGAAAATACAAATGGGGCAATCGAATACATTAGTCTATAACAACAATGCTGGTTCTGTACTATATAAATCATAAATGTATGCGTATGGCTGTTGGTCAATGGTCGTACCTGAGGAAAGCGATTTGAGAAGCACAAAAATCATCAATATCATTTGCTGAATCAGAATTTACCTAATATGTCAAAAAAGTTGTCGTATTCGACACAAGTTCTTCAAAACTGAAATATATTGAGGCTTATAGAAGAATTGTTTCTCAGAAAATGAAATCACTATTAAGAAATTGAAATTCTCACACAAGTTAAATAATTTGGAGTCTAATCGTCCTTTACTCGGATCAATACACCTTATCGCTATTTAGTCCATTCCGGAAAGAAACAGTCATTTAGACAACTTCCTGTTAGGGTCAATTATCGTAAAACAAAGGTCATCATAAAATGCAACTTCCGAAGCAAGGTTGTCGGCTCTCCGGACTTTCCCGAAGTCCTGCGTTTACAATGGTTTAAACATAACTCTTTGAAACATTTTATGCACAGTACTTTGTTTAAACAGGGCCCCAGATAACTTCAACTGGTTTGAAAGAGTTATGTAATTTCAGAACTTATCCGGAATGGAATAAAACGCGATAAGGTGAATTGATAAGAGATGCAGGTGTTGAGGCATATGAATTCAGACCTTTACATCATTTGGTCTCTGGTGGAGAGTTCTTATTTTTATATTGAGAATCAAATGGAAATATCAAGCCTAAAGAGCATTTTCCTACCGACAGGCAGATGACTATAGGACTAATGATAACATAACAAATGTGTACTTACTTGCAAACAATACATTTATTAATTGGTGAAATATGAATATTTCTAGTTTTTGCCATTTGTTCGTTTGTGAGTTTTAATAGGTGATACAAAACACTTGTTATTTTCGTCAGTCAGATTCTTGACACGCAACAGATCCATGTAGAGTTGCTAATGTCACGTGAAAAAACAGCGGAGCTTTGTGTTTTACCCTCCCAGACGTTTCACATTCTCTGCTATTTTGTTAAACCTGTCAGAATTGAGATTTCTGAGATTTGAAATGATTAAAAATTAACCTTAGATTTCCACAGCCGTCATTGCGAATCTAGAGAATAAAAGAAATTGTCTCACTAGGGGGCGTTCTCAGTCTGGATGAAAAAAAAGCATTTTGCAAAGAAAGAATTCAGGGTCAACACGTGTTTATATGGTTGCTGTAATTTTTAACAACTTTAATGAATATAGCAGAGAAAATGGCACTGAATGGCAGAAATGTTTGGAAATGGACTGGAAATGGCGATCAATCATTTAATGTTGTGCTGATTTATCTTCAAAAACACAAGTGTAATTGTCCATCAACTTTAAGATTTTCTACTTATGCAATACTCCATGAAAATTCATAGTCTACATACTCTTGTATTTAAAAGAATGTCCTATTGTGTGTCTATTTTATGATAGTTTCTCAGACTTCTGTAACACCATCTAAACGACAGTATATTATGTCTGTTGTTTCTTTTCTAAGAGCTGCATTTTTATTTTCATTATCTATAATATATATATTTTTTTAAAAACTGCAGAGATGATGAGACTGTAAATATAAAAATAAGATGATGTGGTATACCTGCCAATGAGACAACTCTCCACCAGTGACCAAATGATGTAAAAGTTTAGCAACTATAGGTCACCGTACGGCCTTCAACAATGAGCAAAACACATACCGCATATACAGCTATAAAAGACCCCAAAATGACAAATCAAAACAATTTCAAACGAGAAATCTAACGGCATGATTTATCTAAAAATAATTAATGAAAACAAAAATGATATACACCAACAAACGACAAGTACACCAAACAACACAATAACACAATGAAAGTAATTCGGTCTTCAAAATAGACTTGTGTACGGTTTGATATCACATGGAAGACTCTATCTCACACGACGGATGATACTAGTTGTGCAGGATATGCATACCCTTCCAAAGAACATTTGGTCAACTCGTTTTTTTGTTGGGTACGTATTGCTCTATATTTAGTTTTCTAAGTATAGTGTTTCGTAGACTATATATATAGTGTTTGTCTTTTCGATAGATTCTTTTTGGAGATGTTACTGTCTGGGTTTTTTTCGAGTAATATTTTTGGTCGTCCCTTTGGTATATTGAGTCAATGAAACAGTGTTAATCATCTAAAAGTTACTGAAAGGCATAAAACACTATATATAGAAACTTCGGCAATCCCGTTAGGTAAACGTGTTAAGAGTATAACCAGTATGTTAAGTATTCGACCATCCTTTTTTTTTCTTCATGAAGAAATGACAATAAAAGAACTTTAATACACCAATAATGACGGTATTAAAAATCGTCAAATACGGCTATACATTAAAGTAGAATTAAGTAACATTGTAACAATATGACAGTTACAAGTAAAACAATATCTAAAATAATATTTATTGAGAGCTACAGTTACATACAATACAATCTGGACTAATCATGTTTTGTTCTTCAAGAAGTTAACCTGTTTATCTGTTCGTATACGAGCGTTACTTCTAAATTACCCAAAATTTCATCGAGGTGGAAATGTTTAGAAACTTTAACGTTCAACCCATACATATGTGTACATTGTTTCCCCTTTGAAGTCTTTACACCAAGCCAGTTTTCTTAAATTAATTAGAACCGAATCAGTCAGTCAGTTATAATTACGTGTAAAGCGAAAAGTAAATTTGTCAGAAGCTCTCACTGATCTGTTACTCTCGTTTCCACAATTTGCTAATCCTTTGACGGCTGATATCCCCATAGTGAGTATGCATCACATCTGTAACGACCTGCTAGATGCATAAAATGAAGCTAATAGACTGAACAAAGACTTCGGTGATATATATAGCCCTCTTATTATACACAGGATGGTCACAAGTTCTACAGGTACTATTTTTCTTGTTCTGAGGACTTTTATCTTTATTCAAATTAATGCAGTTATACCCCAATTGAGTTGATGGCTTATCAGAGCATTAATCGTACAGTAACTGTAAATTTATCATGCATGTGGATGATATCTTGCTGCCCATCAAGGGCCCTTAATATAAATATAAATAAATATTCGTATTCTTTATTCTTAAAAACATACATGAACTAGAATGTGTCCATAGTACACGGATGCCCCACTCGCACTATCATTTTCTATGTTCAGTGGACCGTGAAATTGGCGTCAAAACTCTAATTTGGTATTACAATTAGAAAGATCATATCATATGGAACATGTGTACTAAATGTCAAGTTGATCGGACTTCAACTTCATCAAAAACTACCTTGACCAAAAACTTTAACCTGAAGTGGGACGGACAGACGGACGGACGGACGAACGAACGGACGCACAGACCACAAAAACATAATGCCCCTACTACTATCGTAGGTGGGGCAAAAAATATTGAGGGGGGAGTATATTTTATCTTAACTGCGAACATAACACAATGCATTTTTTTCGTTTTTCATGATACTCTAAGATTTAAAAAAAACCCATAAATTTATTTTTTCTATTGGTTTATAAATCAATCAATTTTCTATGGTGATTATACCAAATAATGTGTATTTGTGTGTTTGTTTTCACCTATAAAACAATTTTGTCTGTCATATAAATCCTTGTAAACCAACCTGTTCTGTGGTAATTTATTTCTGCCGTATTATGTGTTTTCCATGTGTTGTTCTATCGTTTGTACATCAACACTTCCCCATAATTTCTATCTCTACATCTATATATTATTCTAAATGTTTGCCATCAGTTTCAGAACATCGGATCACTTAACGTCTAAAATTATATAACTTTATGATTCGTTATAATTTAAGGTGAGGAACTTGATGCCAACACTGCAAAGTTGGCCATATAAAAATTTCGTCCTATTGGTGGTCTATGATTTTCTGATTTCTTATTTGGAAGAAAAAAGTATGGTTCGAAAGTCAAATAAACTTCTAGTGACTTTTTGACAAAGATTCTATAAGTTGTTCTTTGTAGCCAGCTTGATCGGTTTGATGTTTTATTGTACATTTTTAATAAACCAGACGTAAACCGGTGCTAGGGGTCGTCATAAAACTTGAAGTGAGGCGAGAGGTTTTTTTTTATTTTTTTTGCTCCGTGTAGAAGGCCTTACTGTGACTTTGAGATCAAGAACAGCAATTAAAGCGCTGTTCCTTTGCTTTTTGTGTGTTTTTTGCTGTGCATGTACTGGTTTTTTATATCATGGATGGATACCCCATATCCTAGCTTTGTTTTTCTATTATGGATTAAAATCCCGAATTTTGCAATGTTGATGCTAAAAACAATTTCAAATAAGGGTTTTTATAATATTTTGGTAAGAAAACTTTCGGGTAACTTCTCTGATGGTGAATGCTGTCCATATTCAAACAGCAGCGGTCATATTTTACATTGAATATCATTAACGATAGCAATTCTACAGTATCACCTAAAAAAGAAATACCTTATAATGATTAATTAAAAACAACTGGCAACTGATACAATAGTATTCTAAGTTGAAAATGCTCTTCACTGAGCAGAATAAAAAATGATTCACATTGTATATATAAGGGCTTTAAATGGATTTGTATTTAAAAATGGTTCCTTGAGAACTAACTTAGCCCTTCCGCTAGGGCTTTTTTTAAAGAGTTGTATCTTTCTAATCAGATCTTTCTTTTTCATTTAACATCGAAGGATTTAACACGTGATTTGTTTGAATATTCATTAAGAGACCTTATTAAAAAGATCTGTCAATCATTCATAGTCCCTGGACCTTTCGATTCGCACAAGGACGTGCTTCTCTGAATCTGCTTATGAAAGCTTTACAATAAATCCATTGAAGGTTTTTGTTTTAATACTCGAGTTTGGGAAACATGGTTTATTTATAAGACTAATGTGTCGAGTCGACGCAAACTGATTTTTACAGTTTGTTCTTATAATGTGTTTCTACAACACTGCCCCATGCAGGTTAAAATAGAGGTTGAAGTGCAATAATTTTATTAAAAATTCTTTATGTACCTGTCCCAAGCCAGGAGCCTGTAATCAATTGGATGTCGTTGGTTGCTGTTTGCCAAAACTGTTTTAGTATAAATTATGCCGTTTTCTTTCTCTCTTTAAGTGTTTACCAGTTTGTCATCCTTGGAACCTTTACAGCTAACTATATACGTGTATACAGTATGGATTTTGCTCATTGTTGCAGGCCGTACGGTGACCTGTGTACTTTGGTCCTCATTTTTATAGATTTCTATGATGGATACTACAATGTATAGAGTGTCGGACAACATAAACATCCGTATTTCTCGGTTACAGAGCATTTATGAATCTAAAAAAGGTACTTAACCACGGCACATTCTGTATGTGCATTCCTTCCCACGTCAGGAATTCAGGGGTAGTAGTCCTGTGTCGCTGTATATCATTTTTGTTCTTTGTTTTGTTAACATTAACCAGACCGTTAGTTTTCTCGTTTGCACTGTTTTACATTTGTAATTTCTGGTCCATTTATAACTTGTTATGCGGTATGAGCTTTGTTCATTGTTGAATAACGTCGGTGATTTAGTTCCTAACTTCTACGTCATTTTAGTCTATTTTGAGTTTTCTAATCGGCAATCTAGCTACATCTTCTTATTTTTATATATTGATGCTTATACAGACTTTCAGAACAGTACCAAAATAAAAGAATATTCTTTAAAACTTAAATTTTCCAAATTACAATCCAAGATGAACAAAACTAGTTTGTTTTATGAAACACCTTACCACGGTAAATACCATGATGCAAAAATAAAACCGACAGAAAATCGGAAGAATGTAACTTTCCTATAATTTCAGACCATCGGAAAAGAACTAAAAAAATAATTATGATAAAATGTAATACTGGTAATGTATCGAAAGTATCCTCCTATATATATGGGACTTTTGTTTTTCAAGTCCCATTCTCTTTTCAATGAATCCGTTAATAGGTCTATGGTGACTGATTTTGTATGGAAAGCCTCGTCAACCATCGAAACGAGATATTTACGTCAATGAAATAGCAACACGACTTCAAGAAAATGAATATTTAAAAGCCAGAGAGCATAGTTATCGCCGGGGAGATATTATTGCACTTGAATACTTTATTTGTTTGTGATGCATTACTTTACTTTCATGGTCAGATTTGGGATTTACTTATTATCTATCATTTCCAAGTTTAATTCTAAATTATGACAAACCTTTCTTGGATAAAAAAAATGGCGATAATTGCTACTCGACTAGAACTAGTCTGAAATGACCAGAAAGCGCCCATATCGTACGACATGCTCATCACTAAAATTGTCAAGACATCAAGAAGATCAGCGATGACCTGACCAACACCAGACAAAGTACATCAGAATATGTCATTAACCCTGGCGTAGGATAGGAATCAAATTACAGGGTACTTAACCATTCACCCTCATCCTGTTATTACCTCTGGTATGCAATTAAATATGCATCTGGCCTTTGTTAGTCTTGTATGTTTTATTATTTTAGTTTATTTATGTTTTGGAGTTTAGTGTGACGTCCATTTTCACTGAGCTAGTACACAATTTTATTTAGGGGCCAGCTGAGGACCACCTCCGGGTGCCGGATTTTCTCGCTCGCTGCGTTGAAGACCCATTGGTGGCATTATGCTGTTGTCTGCTCTTTGGTCGCGTTGTTGTCTCTTTGACATATTCCCAATTTCCATTCTCAATTTTACATTAAAAAATAGATATAGGAAAAAATAACTAAATTATAACTGCGTGTATTGAGAAATTCGAAACACAGCTACATATTCTTAAAAACAAAATCACAAAAAGCAAACCAACAATAGAGGAGGATTGAGGGGATCAAACTACAAATGCATGTGCCTGTTCCAAGAAGGGGTTGTTTTGTGTCATATCTTAATGATTTTTTGTTCTTTTGAGAATTTGATGGTAATGGCAGTTCTTTGATAATTTGTTTTCTGCAACACGACGGGTGCCACATGAGGAGCAGGATCTGCTTACCCTTCCGGAGCACATGAGATCACCCCCAGTTTTAGGTGGGGTTTGTGTTGCTGTTGTACCCCTGTTTGTGACATTTTTACCCATTGTGTCTGTTTGTTTTGTTCACACATCGTTGTCAATATAATGGAATTTGATGCGACTGTCATACAAGTGAGAGGTTTAGCTAGCTTTAAAACCAGGTTTAATCCACCATTTTCTACATAAGAAAATGCCTGTACCAAGTCAGGAATATGACAGTTGTTATCCATTCGTTTGATGTGTTTGAACTTGATTTTGATTTTGCCATTTGATCGGGGACTTTCCTTTTTGAATTTTCCTCGGAGTTCAGTATTTTTGTGATTTTACTTTTTATGTATTCACAACGTCTAGCAGGACGAGTTTGACATATATGTACAGACATCAGTCCATTGTTGAAGACTATATGTTGCTCTCGACATTGGTCTGTAAATTATTGCAAAATAACAACTCCCATTCTTATATCTGATACACATATCTGTCTGCAGATTTGCTTGAAATAACAATAATTATTCTCGCATTTTTGTCCATTCTTCAAAAACCGCAAAAAAAAAATGCACACAATAATTTCTGAATTTACATATTTAGTGGATTGTAGTCTTATTGGCGTATAGTATATATGTTGTGTACAAGTTGTAATGTTGTACAAATTATAATTTGTACAGATTTTTTGTACAAGTTATCAGTGTTTTATGAACCGCTTAACACAAATGGATGATGCAAGCACACAGTCTTTTGTTTCGCATATTTCTGTCATATTTCCACAACTACATGATACAATCTAATACTGAGCATTGATACAAAAACATTATAAGAACACAAAAAGACTTTTTATGGATATGATTTTGGTATAAGGAGAAAAATAAAATTAGAATATAGACCATTCAGGTATCCTCATTTCCAGTTTGAGGACAAAGAGAATAGCAGTAAATGTTAGGTTGAAGTATATAAATTTGAATTTAAGACATTAAACTGATACATTTTAGAAGATAAACTTTTATCACCTGGTGCAAGAAGGTATGTGTCAAAAAACTTATAACTTGTACAAAAACCCTGTACAAATTATAATTTGTACAAACTTACATCTTGTACACAACATATATATCACAGATCAACTTTTGTTCATGAGAATACCTTTTTGTTAATAAAATCATTTCTCCTGCTATTTTACCTGAATATTTTTCTATGTGCAGTCTACATTAACGCTCTATCTATTTATTTAAATGATTGAACTTACTGTCCGCGTTAGCATTATATAATTTCCTATCATTTTACGGTCGAAAAATTATGAATCATGTACGAGTATAGTATAAACCACTGAGTAGCATGGACCAGTCTTAAAGTTTTAAATATCGCGAGTATAAAATTATCATTACATCGGGTACTTTTTCTTGCACAGCTTAGCCAATACACGTCTTTGAAATTTTTCGATTAAAAATAAAATAATCCATTAAAAATAAGGTAATTATAAATTTAAAAAAAAATCAAAGAAAATTTCAACCAAATACATTTTATCAATAATTGTTTTCCAAAGTTGTAAAATTGCTGTTATTTTTTCTAATGACGAATGCACTACAATTAATAATTGTTCTTTCTTATTATTTACTTATTTGTTTATTTATCTTAATTTTGTTTATTTATTTATTATCAAAATTCTTCAGATTGAATAGTTAAAGTGAGAAAATTATTAAATTTAACAAATTTGAAAAACCATTCAATTCTTTAATTCAATTCAATTAACCAGAATACAAATATATCTTAACTTAACGAATTCTTTATTTTGTATAAATAATCCGATCTGCTTTAATTGATTAATTTGTATTTTGAACTGGAAATTATCTGAAAGCACATTACTAAGAAAATATTTGATTAAAAATCAAGTTAAAGTATTTTGAAAGCAAATCAGATATGTACCTTTTTGCACTAAAATTGAGAAATAAATATAATTTGTACCAATAAAATGCCTTGCAAAACTAAATGCAATACATAAGAAGCAAATATTTTTTTTTAATAATAACTTGTGGGTGTAAAGACAAATCTGAACACAGAAAGTAAAAAAAAAATCAATTTTACATGTTACAGAAAACTTTGTGAAACCATCTGTTTTAACGAAGGAAAAATAAACTAAATGTAACTTTGTAACTTAACAATTTTCTACTGACGGTCCAATTTAAAGTTTTGTCAACAAAAAGTATAATCTTATTTGATGTAATAATAGTTTGTCCGATCAGTTTACACAACATTTCCTGTCAAGTGTAAAATGGCCATCAAATCGACTTCAAAAAATAACGGGGAAAAAAATAGATCAAAGTTTCCATAAAAATTGGAACTCAAAACTGTTGTTAATGGGAAAAAAAAGATTAAATTCATTATTGTTTTTTTTTCAAAAGAAATGAATATGTGATTTTTATAATATACTGAAGCTAAGTTTATATAATACTTATTTCGTTTCGGAATATGAAATGAACTCCAATCGAGTAGTTCTTCAAAACATTTGACCTACGACATTTCAAAACCTATTTTACACGTACGTCTTCCCCAAGAAGCGTGAATTTCGTGTTATTTGTAATAATATTGGTTTATATTTGAGTATAAATTCTTCCGAGTCCAGTTGTTGGAGAAAAGCTATCCAATGAAATTAAAAGAGCGATGTAAAAATGTTTTGCTTTTAGCTACAGATTGTATCGTGTTCTTAAATCAATATTTGATTTTAATTTGTTTTCTCTGAAATTAAATTTCAATGACATTTAAATATTTAGTTGTAATTATAATTTACTATAAATAATTTGAATTTGTTATTATGATTACCACATCAAATCAAACTTAATCTGTATGAAGAATATTAATAAACTTAAATATGGCTTTAAATATTTTAGTAAACATTGTTTTTCCGTCTTAATAATTACACGTGTAGAGAAATTCGATTGTAAATGAAAATGACAATTAAAATATTTTTTCCTTAGTTGATTTGATGTCAAACATCTTTAACAAATTCAGATCACGAAAATATAGTATTTTCTTGAATATATTTTCGATTGAATTTTTTTATTTACAAATAATTTCAAATTTCTTCTCTGTTGCAACAACTTCGTATAACTGAAAAAAGAACAGTTATTGATATGAATACAAACGTAAATTTAAAATTGATGTTTTTGCACAAAAACAAATTGAGCAAGGAAATACATGAAAACTTTGGTTGAATATCATTTTAATTTTACACAAATATGCGTGGATTCCTACATACCTCAAAACTGACATATTAAATTTTAAATTGTCTTTCTGTTATCTGCCTGAATATAAAATTAATTGGAATGTTCGCAAATTACACAATCGACAGAAACCTGTTGACAAACATCTTTCAGCACGAGAGAAATACAGGTCATTGTAAATGTTAAACAAGCACTGCACTTATGAAAACTTTGTGAGAATAACCTCACAGTCAAGTACATTTCCAGAACAAAGAACAAAATTATACATACGGTAAATGAATCTAGACAAGTCATTAAAATTTGCTGTATTCGCATGCATACGATTTGTATGGGTTCCTAAATGCGGCAAGTTGGCAGCTGGATTGAGGAGTTGTTTGACTCCCTTGCCCTAAAAGTCTTTGACTTTCAAAAACGTCCCGAACACTTCCAAAAGTTCCTCCAGGAAAATCGGCACCATGATGTGAAAAGTCAGCTGCACTTGAAACATACCATCCATTGGGTCTCCCATACGTTTGGAACATGCTTGAGTTGACACTGTTAGCAGACGATAGTGTCGCGTGCGCGTGAGCTGGTGACGGCGGGTCAATATTGTCCTCGTTATTGACACCAGATAGAGAATTGTTATGTTGAATGATAGAAGAGGTCGGATATGGGTACCCTGGTCCTTGAGGTGATGTCTGACCACACGATCCAATGTTCCGGTAAATATCAGTAGGTCTTGAGTAAGGAATTGGCGGATTGATACTTTGTCGTCCAGATAAAAAGTTACATCCACTCATATCACAATTTACGGAATTTTGCACTAAGTTCTCCACTGTAAAACTAGAAGGTTGGCTTGGTTCCAAAGGATCAGCTGGAATTGGTAGGGTATTTGGGCTCGGTCTTGATTCTAGCTGCGAATCTTGTAGGTTGTTCGAATTTTGAAGTTCAACGGGCTCCAACTTTGTTGAGACACTAGTTTCTAAAGGAGGAGATTTTCTACAAATGTCATACTTATGAGGACTACACGAATTGTCAGAATACTCAGAATTTCCGCACTCACCGTTTCTTGCACTTTCATTGTCGCTGCTGTCGCCGTGTTTCAAATTAATATCCGTTTTGTCACCATCTGAAGGTCGTTCGGCATCCTTCTTCTTTTTGAATCGCCTTCTCCTGCGTAAATAACTACCATTGTCAAACATATTGTAACTGTCCGGGTCCAAAGACCAGTAACTTCCTTTACCAGGTTTTTTATCGTCTCGGGGAACTTTTAAAAAACATTCATTTAGCGAAAGATTATGACGGATACTGTTTTGCCATCCTTGTTTGTTTTCACGGTAGAAAGGAAAACGATCCATAATAAATTGATAAATTCCATTTAATGTTACTTTCTTGTCCGGAGTACTCTGAATAGCCATTGCTATCAGCGCAATATAACTGTACGGTGGCTTAACCATGTCCTTAGCACTTTGGTGATGTCCGTAGGGGGAGTATGGAGACGGTCTACCCATCGCTGAATACTGGTCACCATACATTGCCGCCATGCTGTTCACGTTCATAGGTATGTACCCTCCATGCCTGTAGTAATTCTGGTCTCCAAACAGAGCTGGCATCATACTTGTTAGACTTGGTCCATTCGGCAAACTAGAAACACCAGGGCTGTGATGGAATCTTTGTAGGGTTCCAGGCTGCATATTCACCATTTACGAACTCAAACGGCAAATGTTTCGTGTTTTTCTCAAGAACGATCAGAATTCTTGTCGTTTTTTACAATCACTTATAAAATGTTTATATTGAAATGTCTGTTTTACACTTATTCTATACTTTGTGATCGAGTGACTGTTATTATAAGCAAAGATAGATTTGATCCTTTTACCCTTATAATCAACATCTCAAACCATTTCATGATGCCTTTCCAAATAAGGATATAAGCTCCGCCCATCCAATCAACGAGTCCAATCAGACCGCTGTTCTTGTTTATCAATTATGAAAATGGCCACACACATTGGTTAAACAGACAGATGAAAAGTTTACAAAATAATTGACAATTTCCAACGAATTTTTCAATGATGGTATACATTTAATGAATACAAAATTAATTTTCTAATAAGTGGATGTGAATGAAAGATAGATTTCTTTAACCTAAGCTGACAAGCGAAAAATAACAATTCACCTTTAATCTAAATCTCTCCATGCGCTTATAGAATAAAATAAAAGAAGTTTCAATTTTTATTAAAAATTAAGTGTTAAAACGATACCTTTTTCGTTAGACTGAATTATGCAAAGGTTGCAGCTGAAAATTCGTACGACAGGAAAAAAAGGAAGAATGTACGATAAAACTTGTAAAAATCAACTTCTTTGAAGTACTCGCTTATTTGAATAAAGGTTTCAGGTTATTTTTGTTAAAATGATATTGGATATACAAATTAAAAGTCGACCATTGTCAAATAATCTGAAATAATTTATCAAAGGTAAAAAATAAACTCAGGAAAACATACAACGAAAAAAATGCTTATGAAAAATACTGTCGAAAATATTACTTAAAGTAAGAAGAGGGAACTTGGGTATTCATACCGTTGGCTATTTTCCACGCAGTTACTCAAATTTCAGACAAATTATGACAATAATGTTGTTAATTATTCCCACAGCAAGAGTTAGAATTATCACACTGAATGTATATCCGTTAGTAAGATAAGTAATAACAAGCAGAAATCATACACAGATGGGTTCCGTTAACTGACGAAGATACCAAATAAATTGCTTACACATTTTGACAACTTAAAAAATGGCATAGTTGGCAAAATGTGCTTTTTACATACCTCTAACCGAGAAGTGAAATTATTGATCTTTCTTCATTTTTTTACAAAGTGCTGAAAAAAGTGTTAATGCAATTTCTATACAGCCGAGAAAAATCAGAGAAAAATGAAAATCTGACATTTTCGATTTTAGGATCCTATTTTTTTTAATTTCCTTTTGCTTCTGATTTTCGCGTTTTTGAATATTTTTTTTTCTCTAAATTATTTAAAATGATAAACAGTATGATAATGAATATTTCTCTATAATTCGAAAGTAACTATGTTGCAATTTCCCGTCAGTTTGTCGAGAAAAAATAATTACTTCATTGTTATTCTATTTGTTCATTTAATGCAAAAGAGAAATATTCTAACAAAGCATAATAATATGATATTTACACGGTTTTTTTTTTATATATAAAACGATTTCTTACATATAATGTAAGGGAAATACTTTCACCACGGGTTGCGTAAATCATTTTAATTGAAATTATCGGGGTATGCTGAGCTGGACAAAATCTTCATTTTAAGTGTCAAAACGTAATAGTGAGACCGACGACTGAATACGGTGGTTCGTCATTTTAATTCAAAATGAAAGGTTTTGAAAAGTTGATGTGGCTATACATACTGTAACTTGTACGCGCCGTACGGGTCCGTTATCGTATCTCTCGGTTTATGCTCGGGTAATTTGATTCGGTTGTTTAGCTGTTCTCTCACCCATCCCGAAACTGACAGGGGATCCATGTACGTGTCAGTCAATCGGTGTCAAATTGACAATAACTTTGCCCTTCGCGCTCTAAGTATTAAATTTTATGATTTTAATATTTAATTTAATTTACAAAAGTACACCTTAATATCACTGCGTCCATCTAGTTCTTGGTTTACAATGATTACTTTCTGTACTGAAACGAGACTTACTATGAGTCGCAGCAATGTTTTAAGCTGGCAACATTATATTTTTTTTTTAAATAAACGGGGAGAAAATTGAGCGTTTAGACAGAAAAAGACAAACCAAATTTCATAGACTGTTTGTAGGACTTTTTTCGTGGGAGGGGGGTGGTCGATATTCATGTCCATACTCTACGCAGGACGAAGAATAAACGAATATATTTGGTAGGGTTGATGTCAATGTAATAGGAACCCAAAATTTGGTCAAATAAACAAGTTGTCAGTAAATTCAGTGATATATCATTAACACCAAATTCCATAATGGTAAAAAATTATGTGCAAACCATTGCTTCATATTTGTTAAAAAGATTAAAGACATTATGGCTTTTCGTCTGAATGTTACAATTTGGTATTTTTGATGACAGAGATATTTTAAATAAGAAGAAATGCGGGGTCGTGGTCAATGGTCAGTCCAAGAGAAATAGGCTACACGATTTTTCTTTTGAAAAGAAAAAAGTAAGATGAACTAAAATAAAGGATATATTGTGAAAAGATATAACGCAGCAATTCTATTACATAACCATATACCGAAACAACGGCTCATGATATTGCTGTTTCTCATCTTGACGTATTTTAAATGTCTTCAGCGATGGACCAGAGAGATAGCATCTTATATCATGAATAATTTATATTTTACAGGAGGTTTATTTTTTGTATCATGTTAAGCCATCAAGGTAAATAATACAGTAAATGATAATTCAAAAAGTATGTGGTCACCTGAAAACAAGACTGACCAGAAAAATGTCCGAAATTTTGTCATGTCATCTATGTGAGTGGCATTCTCAATTAACCAAATGTCCACTAAACCATTTGTGTATTGTATTGAAAAATTAACAATTATCTCGAATGAAACACATGGACAAATTTCAATTATTATTTATTTTCAATTTCAGTAGATTTTAATCAATTCGCCTCGAAGACATACAGATACGATTAGGACTGTTTATATAAGGCGGAGTGAAACGGACGAAAATTTTCTACTCGGATGAATTTCTTTGGAAATTATAGTCTAAATATCTCACAAAAGAATCAGTCCTGCTTTATTTTGTTAAGAGGATACGGTAGCTCAACGTGGCAGAATACGATATTTTTGTGTCAACATAAATATTTTCCATTTCCACATAATTTGAATGAATAAAAATACATTCGACTATTATCATAAATGAACAGCTATAAAAATTCATTGGGTACAAATATTGTTCTAGACTTGTAAATAGTGATCAAATTGACTCTGTTCACCCAATATGTTTTCAGAAACAATATATAATGTTTAAAGTCAACAAGTAAATTCAGTTTTCAAACAAGCATAGTTTATAAATCAATTTGGTGCTCATTCATACCACTTAGTGCCTCGTTAATGCGTCTTAGGTACAATGTTTAAAGATGAAAAAGATTTCCAAGCAACAGATTTTATTTTGTATATACAAGAAATTTCTTGCTCTTTATCAAGATGGGATAAAAATGTTATCTCTAAACGGTGTTCTATCATTCCTGAAACACGGCACACAATATGTCAGAAGCAGCAAGAACTATAGCATCGTACAAACAACTTCATATCTGGACATTATCAGTTCATTCCATCAAAATCGAGAAAAAAGAAAAAAATTCAAAGCCTTCTGTTTTAACATTTTTCAAAACCAACGAGGAAAGTATATATATAAAGATATACATCTGTAATTGTCGTGTGGGGATAGTCTTTTCGTGGGAGGTAACTGAAAGATTGTTTTCAATTGCTGAAAGATCTTATAATTTTGGAGTATAAAGGGAACCACCTGGTGTTGGAACTTCAGACGTAAATCCTGTGTTTGCAAACATAACAAAAAAAACCTCTCTTATACACATTCTAGATGGGAAAAAACTAATACCCACAATAATTGTCTCTCAATTTTACTTTAGTGCAGCCACTGAAAAAAAAAGTTTGATAATTACCCTTATACGACGAAAGCATGGTGAACTTCTGAAACGCATATATAGATGATTTTTACCTCACGGATGATAATTCACTAAAAACAAAATGACAAAACACGTTAAATGACTGTCGCTTTATCTTCACCCTAAATCTAAAATGAAAAACTCAAATTTTATTCAGTTCAGACTAACAAATAAAAAAATGTTGGTTAAATTGAAAATTGAAATTATTTTTTCTCTGTCTTTTTCTTTATCTCATATTTTTTGTATCTCGTGCAAATAATTCTTTCCTTTTTATTCAGTTACATTAATAGCGATAAAAGCAATTTAAAAAAACAAAACAAAACAAAAACAAGAGCTGTTAATCTGACTATGTTCCTTTTTGATATATTTTTCACTTATTTAAAAAGAAGGGAAAAAATGTGTTTCCAAGCAAATTGTTTTGTCCTTGTATGTTTTCAGATAATGTAAATGATTTTTAGTTTAATTCTATTTTACAAATAGTGAGTATAATGTCTTCTCCTTCAAATAAACGTGCAATTATCGAGGCAAAAATTTTGAATATTCAGCAACGAATCCCAAAGGATGTGCTCGTTTCTTACTTGACGATGTATGAAAGTATCAATTTGTTTTATGTTCTCGCCTTCAAAAGGTGCTCATCATCGCCATGGCGCGCTCGATTAATAATCTCTTATTTATCAGAATAGATCAAGTCCCGAACGTATTTAATTTTATTCTTATTAACATTGAAGCATCACGTCTTAACAACCTAATGGGAGCTGTATGTAAGTCATTAAATGGTTCACCCAGAAATTAAGAAACACAAAGAACTGAAAGTTACTGAAGATCTCATCTGTTCAAAGAGATCAAAGGATTTAAAAATTACAGAGTAGATGCTGTTTAGAAATCTATATTAGTTGATTGTAAAGTTTTTGAAATATTTCATGAATATCAATTTCTAAGAACGTCATCTTATTTTAACTAATTAAAACTTCAATATAAACAAAATAAAAATTTCAAAGTGTGTGGTGCAAAGCGAGAAAATTCATCAGTCTTTACAAACTATCAGCACTTTAGGGGGTACTGCTATTTTGCATGTTGCGTGTTGCATGTTGCGTGTTGCGAGTTGCGTGTTGCGTGTTGCGTGTTGCGTGTTGCGTGTTGTATATTGACTTAAAGGATAAAGTTAAATGACATTTTTTTGTTTGTTGTTGTTTGATTTCTGTTTCAATGATGTCATTCAAAATTATATTACAATACCTTCATTACATGTTAGATGAATGGTGGGTTGATTTTTAAGGGTGGTTAATTAATTATCATGAGAACAAATGTATGTATTTTATGTTTTTACCAGTGTCTGTAAATTTCAAAAGTAACAGAATCTGAAAAATAAAGGCTAAAAATTTTGGATATTCATTTGTTAAATTTACATGAGGTTCAATGTTTAGGTTTATGTTATAACTAAATGTATATGAGTCAAACTTATTCTGCACTATATTATTTTTGGTAATAAATGGATCAAACATGAAACTATCTATTGACATAGTGTATCCTTCAATTTATTTGAAATTTATAATTAACCTATCAACAAAAGTCATCAAAACTTGGATTCTGGAGATTGATCTATAGTATTAATTAGATGATATGGGATAATTTGATAGAATTTTATGACCTGTTAATTATTTTCAATGACAGAGATTTTCTCTCAACATAGAGATTTTTATATTCCTGCTAAAATAAATAAACAATCAAGCTAAAGGTACATAGGTTTGCTCG